ATCTACACAAGAAGTTCTGAACAAGTGTTATTAGCAGCATTATTTATAACAGCCAAGAGTGCAAAACATCCCAGATTTCCTTTAACTGATGATGACGAATAGATAGATAAAATGTATAGCAATACAGTAGAATATTGTTTGGCATTAAAAAGGAATGAACCCTAAAAACATTATGAAATAAGCTAGTCACAAAAGCCATATATTCCATGATAGTGTTTATATGAAATTTCCAGAGTAGGCGAATCTATAGACCTGGGATGTAGATTAGTTGTAGACAGAGAATAGGAGAATAGAGATTGAAAAATGATTGCTAGTCATCTCAGGGGTTGTTCTTTGAGTGCTAAAAGTGTTCAGAAGTTAGATTGTGGTTAAACAACCCAGTGAGTACTCTATAAATAATCACCAGAATACACTAAACAGATGAATTTTATAGGTTGTGAATTATATTGCAACAAATCAGTATAAAATTAAGTCACATAGATGAAATGTGCTATGTGATCTATTTCTTAAATGTACTTTATTTCTTAAAAATCTCAAATCTTTTTCTCACTTTAGAGGAACAACTCCTTTCCAGATGAGAACAACATTGCAAGACTTCAGGAGGAACTCATTGCTGTGAAACTTAGAGAAGCAGAAGCCATTATGGGTTTGAAGGAACTCAGACAGCAGGTCAAGGATTTGGAAGAACACTGGCAGGTATATCAACATATGCGCTTTTTTCAAAAAGAGCAAAATCCAAATATCTAGTTTGTGCAACTTTGAAATAACTGATGACCAAGAGTAAGAGGCAAGTTTAAAGTGTACAAAATGTTGCTTTTAGTGTTAAAATTAGGAGCTTTTATGGTAAGCACCGTGGCTCTTGCTTGTCATTCAACATACTTGGGAAACAGAGATCAGTAGAATATTGCTTCAAGGCCAGTCCAAGCAAAATGTGAACTCATACCTGAGAAATAACTGAAGCAAAAAGTGTATCAGCTGGAAGAATGACTGCTTCAAAAGTGTGTGACTCTGTGTTCAAACCTCAATACTGTCAACAAGAAAAAAGAGAAGAGGAGAGAGAGGGAGGGAAGGAAGGAAGAGACAGGTTGTTTAAACATGAGCTTTAGTCTCATAAAATATATAGTCTGAAAATACATGATTTATCCTCTTACTTTCCCATATGGAAATAAGATGCTTCATATTTTTTTCATTAAAAGGAAAATATGTCAGGCGCCAGTGGCTGATGCCTGTAATTCTAGCTACTCTGGAGGCTGAGATCTGAGGATCATGGCTCAAAGCCAGCCCAGGCAGAAAAGTCCATGAGACTCTTATCTCCAATTAACCACCAGAAAACCAGAAGTGGTGCTGTGGCTCAAGTGATAGAGCATTCTCTTTGAGCTGAAGAGCTCAGGGACAGTGCCCAGGCCCAGAGTTCAAGCCCCATGACCGGAAAAAAAAAAGTTAAACTTAATACGACTCATATTTTATACTAGTTTACATTTTACTTTGAAAAGGATTCCTATCATGATTTGTTTATTTTTGCTCTATTAGATTTTTCAAGAAAGTACATAAAATTAATTATGCATAATATGTACCAGCCTTTTGATAGTCATCTTCATCAAGTTATTGCTTACTTTGATACTAGGAATGTTTGTTGCAATATAATTTTTTTCTGCTTTAGCGCCACTTAGCTCGTACTACTGGGAGGTGGAAAGATCCACCTAAGAAACATGCTGTGCATGAGTTACAAGATGAACTGATGACCATTCGACTTAGAGAAGCTGAAACACAGGCGGAAATAAGAGAAATAAAACAGAGGATGATGGAAATGGAGACACAGGTATGATGAAAGACAGACCTGTTGGGTTGGAAAGTATCACTGGATTGCGTGTAGTATACTAGAATTTTATCATAAAGATGCAAAGTGAAGATATGAAGCTGTCTGAACTACAGTTTTGTAGCCCAAAATAACAGGTCTGGAACTTTCTTCCAAAAAATTTAATCTTTGACCCATTCAACAGAGTTTAAGCAAGTTAGATACCATTTGACTTTATTAGGTAAAACTCAAAGGATTGCCATCTTGCATAGCTTGTTAAGGGAACATTCTGTAGAGTAAAAATTCTCAGCCTCAGTGTGTTAACAATCTGGGCTGGAGTATTCTTAGTTTAGTAGAGCTGGCCCAGGCACTGATGGTGATTAGCAACATGCTTCCTGGTCTCTGTTCCCTACATGTCCTCTCTCCCCACAGGTTGTGATGACCAAAACTGTCTCTACATATGTCCAAATCCCACCCCCCCCAGGAGGGGAGTGAATGATATTGTCCCATGCTCTGTAATGGATGATCTGAGTAGTCATAAAATTGTTCTTCTTCTCAAGTCCTCCTTTTCTCTAATAAATCCTATCATAAATGAATTTGACCTAAGATTTGCAAAGACTTTGTTATAAAGCCCATGTGCATGGGGCTGGGAAGGTGGCTCAGTGGTAGAGTGCTTGCCTTGCATACATGAAGCCCTGGGTTCGATTCCACATGAACAGAAAAAGCCGGAAGTGGCGCTGTGGCTCAAGTGGTAGAGCACTAGCCTTGGGCTGAAATGCTGAGGGACAGCGCCCAGGCCCAGAGATCAGGCCCCATGACCAAAAAAAGTGCATTGTAAGGGCACATTTGGTTTATATGTGGTCCATTTGTGTGGACCATTGTCCATAAATTATTCCTGGAAATCTATGAAATCCTTGTAGATAGCAAAATCTTCAGATGCCCAAGTTTCTTGTATAATGTTTGTATATAACCTATGTGTATTCTCCAATATACTTTAAGTCCTGCTTTGATATAATGCCTAAAGACCGGCACTGCTGGCTCACACTGTAATCCTAACTACTCAGGAGGCTGTGATCTGAGGATCAAGGTTCAAAGCCAGTCCGGGCAGAAAAATTTGTGAGACTCTTATCTCCAATTAACCCCAGAAAACCACAAGTGAAGCTGTGGCTCAAAAGTGGTAGAGCACTAGCATTGAGTGGAAAAGTTCAAGGACAGCGCCCAGGCCCTGAGTTCCAGCCCCATGACTGACCA